GGAACGAGGATGTCTCCACGCGACCGGCTCTCGCACGCGTGTGTCTAACGCTCTCTACAATCATAACCTCGAGGTTGGCTACACGTAAGCTAAAAAAATTTATAAGCTTCTGGAGCGTTTTGTAATTGTAAGGACAATTTTGCCACTGATCCCTTAATGGAGTCAAAGCATTGTCCTGCCATCTGCTCGACGTTAGCCAGTTTGTGAAACGTCGTCACGCATAAGATTCAATGCAGCTCAGCCGTTGCTGGTGGTCTTGCCATGCAACGCTTTTCTGTAAGACCAAACAACAGCTAATGAGTTTCTTTCTCCAAGAATAAAACGTTTTGTATAAGTTATAGAAATACCTCTTTGTTTTCATGCGTCTTATTTTTTCCCACTTTACGTTCTCATCATTGGGTCACGACCTGTCGGCGACGTCTACCGGCGGTACTGAAAAATGATCTTTCTATCTTTCGAAACCTATTGAGTGGTGTATGATTACTATAAAGGGGATTTATTTTTTTTCAAAATTTTTTTTAGATATGATTATTTTTGGCCGTCACCTAAGAATTCCCACCAAAAAATCATGACCGTCCATACACCTCATGGTGAAATTTCGAAGTCTTCGACATTAGGTCAGAAAACATCAAAAACAACTAAACTATTCGTTACATTGGTGGTATTGCGCAATATAAATGTCACATCATGGGTTTCCCACATACCACGGAGTTTTACTTGTAAGATATAGTGAAGGAGGCCTAATGATCAGCTCAGATCGGTAAGCTTTCCTAAAATTTACAGGCAACTTTGATCAATGATCCCGATGAAAAAGAGACAAAATCATTTAGTAAGGTATTCGAACCGAAAAGTATATAAGAATGCTGACTGAAATCGGTGACGGATAAAACAAGAGATGCTTGATAAGCACATTGTTGTCAGATTGCGTCATATTCCTTCTTAACATTGATTTTGTTCTTTACATGATTGAAAACTAAGAAACGTATCTCCTTTGACTCTTAACGACCGTCTCGAACGTTAAGTATATCACAAATAACACGAATTTGCTCCGGAAACGATGCGACGTGCAGTTTTTCAGTTGCATCTGCATATATTTCCGGGTTACGGTAAATATTCAGAGCCTGTTCTTTGATCAGAATTGAATTAGATAAAGTGTTCTGCTCACTTTGTCTGAAGAATATGTACTCACCATTCTATACACAACAGTTTAGCCGTGACAGCATCATAAATTGTAAGTTAAAGACTTAGTGAGCAAGGTCCATGGAGTCACCTTCGTTACTGATGTCTGCAAGTCGTGTGTGGCTAGTCTTACAAATCCCATCGTACTTTGTGGGTAAACAAAAGCGCATAGGTATGTAATACGTACAGATTTAACAAGTCAGCCACCGACCTTTTTTTAAACTGGCATCCGATTTCAAAAAGTCTTTTCTCTTTAGCGTTGAACCAGAAGAAGAATCAGAAGAATACTTTCTCGTTCATCAATCGAAAACTGCTCAAAAGGCAGCCCAGTTCTATTCAATTGTGAGTTCTTTTCTAATCCATATTACACATTACCCATAATGGGTGTGTCTTATCGTTTTCCCTGAGCACCAAAGGATTGCAATAGGTTTGAGCCAGACTGTTAACCCTTTCACTCCCAAGATCAAATTAGTAATTCTCCTTGCTATCTGCTGTACAATTCTTATGATGTTAGTTTGGAGAATTTGGTAATGGATCAACTAATAATCCCATAATTGATATTCTTCTCTATTCTCATCACCTGCCTGCTTGATATTGTATTGATATTGTAAGGAGAAATTCTCTCTTGGTCACTTGTGGGAGTGAAAGGGTTAATATTAAAGGGAGATTGTACCCCCCCCCTTTGTGTTTTCTAATGTTCTTTTTTATCTTCTTCTTTTCCAGTCTAAGATTTTCTTTCTTGAAACAAGAGGTTTATCTTTTAGAGTCAAAAAATGTTTGTAGGAGAGTTAGGAAAAGGACAAAGAAGAAGAAAAAAACAAATTTGGTCTCAAGAATTCAATGTGAAACACATGATTAGTTGGAGCACTTATGTCTAGAAAGGACTCAAGCCATTCCATCCAATATTGTTATATCATTAGCTCACTTGTATTTTTTTTAAAACAATTAAATACAAACTTGTCAACCTACAGGCTTTATAATTATCAACTTCAAAATTTTTCTCCTTACCTACTTTTACCTTGTTTGAAAGGGTAAGAAACTCACAAAGAAAGTAAGAGGGTAATTTAGTATTACCAACTGAGTTGATAACATAATTTGGCCACTGTAAAGAGTTTAAAAGCTGATGTTTCAAGTGTTAGCCCTTCATAATAGTGATTGATGAAGGGCTAACGTTCAAATTGTCAGCTTGTAAACTCTTTATGATGGCCAATTTATGATATCAACTCAGTTGATAATACTAAAGTACTTGTTGTTGTACTCTCCCACTGACACAGCACCACAGTTTCTTTAGAAAGTTACCCCTTTTATTTACAAAAAATATGTCAAACAAAGCAAGGTGAATTTTTGTGGTGTTTATAATTTAGATTCCAAGTACAAATTATTCCTTTACATGATAACACATGCATGTCAATTTAATTACAGCAGTCCAAATTTTTTTACCATTCCCTAATTGTGTGTAATGATATAAATAGAAAACTGCTCCCTAAGTAATGCCTTGTCATTGATTTTATGGTCACATGACAAATTCTGGTCTTTTAGAGAAAAGAAATTAACCTTTAACTGCTCTGAGCAAGACTTTTCTTTTTCTTTTCTTAAATAATAATAATCTCTCATTGGCTCTTAAAATGGATAAACATGTGGTCCATGTTTCTTTTCTTGCGCATATTTAGATCTGGGATCCAGGATACCATAAAATTTTTTAACAAGAGTTCACAACAGATCACATGAATCAGTTTATGAGCCACAGAGGTAAATATTGCAGATCACCATCCAGATTCCCACACAGGTTTAGACATGGCTTTCCTCTGTGCAGATCGACTTGAACCACTGGAAATCCTTGAACTTGCTACACTTGCAGAATCACCAATCATGAAACTGGACTCACTGGAAGAACGTGACAAGTGGGAGACACTTCCTGTGCTGCTTTTTGCACTGCTTGGTCAGCTTCTTGAGGCCGTTTTTGAATATTGTTTCTGTTTAATATGTTCTTTGAGTAATGAGTCCCGTGATAATGTCCTTGTTGGTTTGACTGTTTGAAGCCTTTCAAGTAATTTCTGAAAAAAATATTCATAAAATTCTCATAATTAGTTTACCAGCAAATGTGTAGCTTCTAAAAGGGAGAATTTACAGTCAGATCTTGAGATTTAAAGGGTAAAAAAGAAGCAGTTTCAGTTGCAAAGATTACTAATATTTTCAAATCAACATTGATAGGTTATGAGTTAAACAAAGTCAAGTGTGGATGAATTTTACTGGCTTTGTGACAAGTAAAAATGTTATGGATAGCACACTTCTGAGGAAAATGTTGAAATTCATAATTGATATAAGACCAAAGGAGATAAAAAAAAAAAAAAGAGAAATTCACATCCTCTGATGCTACATATTCCTGTGAGGTCTTCATATTAAGGATTAACTCCCAATCAGAGGAGCACCAACCTCCCAAAATATGAAACATTTTAAGATATTTGAATTGGAAGCACCTTCCCCTCCCTAAAAAATTGTCAGAGGACAGCTACGTTCCAGTCTCTCCTCTCAAGTGGAAAGTCATGTAAACCTTGTACATGTGTGCTTATTTCAACAGAGTTTGTATATTTAGGTGGGTTAGGTGGGGACACAATAAGAATTAATTTTCATTCATGATTTATTAAGCAAGAAGGGTACTTATTTTTTATGTTTAGGCCAATTAGAGAGGTGGTCATTCAAGGGGGGGCGGGAGAGGGGCAATCAATTCAAAGGATTATCATAATGACAATCCACAATCTAAAGAAAAATGTCAATATATTAAACTATCATTCAATTATCATGCAGAGGCCAAGAATTATCTGGAATTTCCCCTTTTACAGAAAAAAGATGAAAAGTCTTCTCCTGGATATATTATAAACTGTATGTTGGGTGACTGAGATATTTATTCAGTATTTGGGAGAATCTTGATTATTACAGAAAATTGGGCATATATGCCCTCATAATGGAACATAAGCCAGTAAAGAGCAATATTTCGTTGATGTCCATTGAAATGAAAAGCAAGCAAATCAACCAAGGCAATCCATCTTTTGTTTTTTTTATGTTTACGCTTTCAGTGAATCATTTGATGTTGCTTGTTATGCATTAAAAAGTTCTGACCTCTCAAAATGATGGTTATCATAAAAACAGAGAAAGGTTGGGAAATAGCGCGCCTATTTAACATTCTACATGTTTTAATTTAGTCAAGTAGAGTGAAATACCTCGGCATATCTTCCTGTACATTGCGAGTGGTAAAAAATGCGTCAGCATTGCATAATTAATTCATCACGCAAAGCATAGTTTTCAAATATTAACGTTGTCAAATATTATAAGATAACTATTTGCCTAAGAGTAAGAGGAGTGTTATCGAGTAACAGCGAAGCACAAACAATAAACTTACTGTGTAGATTTTGTCTGGTCAGAATTTCGTTTTGCTTTTTTTCTTACTTGAAGGATTTTTTCAAGACTCATAATATCAAAGAGCCACTACAACACTTCTCGTAATACTAACCTGATTTTCCATATCTACTTTTCGTTGAAACCTGTATCTGTTGACCTCAGACGAAGTTTGTACCCGTAAGGGTTCTGAAACAAGTTTCCTTGGTTGGGCAGACTTCGGTCTTCCTCTGTTTCTTGTTATTTCTTTTAAAAGTCTCTTATTTTCTCGATCAATAGCATCTACTGTGGCATTGCTGAAAGACATGTTTTTACGATCTAGAGGCCGAGGGCGGCGAGACTCGTTGAGATGTACAGCACTTCTTGGTCTCGATCTAGACGCCGAAGACACCGAGGAATGTCTTGAAGCAGTATCGTCGAAGTCTCTGTCCTTTTGAGTACTTTGCCGATCATCTTTCGAAGTCGGACCTCCACAGGTTTCCTCTGTTTTTGAGCTCTCTGTTGGTTTTTCATTCAGTTTCTCGTTAATATCGAGAACGGCTTGAAGAAGGAGATTCAAATCTATCTGATCAGAATTAGGAAGCAAAAAATGCTCCTTTCTGAGACGGTCGTTGGTTTTATCACGACATTCGCTCCCCGTAGAACTCCTGCGATGAGGTTCCGTGGACGCCATGTTTCTTTCCGAACCGTCTTCTTCGGAAACGATAGGTCCGGTTACCATAGTAACTGCTAACAACGGGCAGAATTGTCTTAGAGCCCAGACTTCTTCCGCGGGGTAAAATCTGAATAAGCGGTCAAATCTATCCTTACAGCGGTTTCTGACTGAACAGCCTTCTTGTGGAAGAATTTCGTCGTGGCATGGAGGCAAAGTTGAAAGAAAATGGATGGTGGGTACTCATTTTAAATTGTTGAATATCCATTCTCCTGCTACATCTGTTTTCGTTCACAAACATGCAGCCTTGCACTTAGCTTTTTGCCTTGCGCGCTTGGTTTTTTTATGCTCATTTAGGCGAGAAAATAGAGAAGTTGCGGTTTTCTCGTGTGCGCTTCACGCTCAACACATAACTAGATCTGTTGCGCAGATCGCCTTGAAAGCTGTTGTTGTTTCTTTCGATGAAACGATTATTTCGCCTTCCAGGTTTCTTTCCTCCGAAGGGATTGCAGAGTGTGAAAGGGTTTGCAACAAAGAGAAGCCATCTTACCAGGAGCTCTCAAAGGCAGCCCTTAATGTGAGTATTGGAAGCCCAAAACACGTCGAAGGAAACAAAGATGTTGGAAAAGATCTTGTCTTTGCTTTGTTACACGATTGCTCTCTAAACTGATCACCTCCTTGCTGTATTAATGTAGTCTTTTAATGGTGCTAGACGGAGTTTACTTGTCACAGAAGATTTTAGCCACTGCTCATTAAATATGAACATTTTAAAGTTTAATGCACTCATGAATCGGCTTGTGACGGGACATCCAGCTAAATATTTTGGTTTGTTTCAATTGATTTTTTGATGAAGCGTATCTCATCTTTTGCCTAGGTTGTTTTTTCACCACGTAAAACCGTGAAAATCGTGCCTGGTATCCTTGATTTTGCATTTTTCTCGAAATCGCCAATCGATCCCCATGGAAAAAAGTGCAGTGAATGAATGTTAGAATTTCTCACTTGAAATGGACGTGTGTGTAATGATTCTAAACCATCTGTGGTCGTGAATAATTTGTAAAAACTTAAACCACTGATGTATGTATTATCCTCAAATCTAGTACATCATGTATTCCACTGAATTGTTTCCATATTTGCTTGGAATATCAAGGATTATTTGTTATGTACATATGAACACATCTAATCTCCTTGTACATCTCCACCTGTACATTGGATGTTATTGCCTTGTGTAAAGCACAGCTGTAAAGGTATCTTGTTTGTCTGTAGAGTGTCCATATTTGTGAGAGTAACCATGAAATTATTTAAGCTTTCGCTGAAAGCTGTAGGTAGTCCAGTAGATTAACTTGCCTCCAGGAATGAAAAAATTTTCCCTCCTTACTCCATGCCTGCAAAAATCTCTGACTTCACTATTTTGCCTTTCATTTTTTTTTAGTCTTATCAATGTGATCACTATTATCTAAGTTGTAAGAAATATTTTGCACTCTGTGCAGAGAATTGATCTTAAGATTCAAGAGTGAAAAGATTCTGTGAATAAAACAATGAATCTGTCATTCTTTTCATTAATCAATCAGTTTTATTTTTCCATTTTAGCTGGACTTGAAACAATATGGCATGAAACATCTTCCTGATGACATCAACCGTGGAAAGGTGGAATCAGTAAGTTTATTTTACTGTAAATTTAATTAAAAAATAAATTTAATTGCTACTGGCAAGGATCCTGAAATCTTGGGAGCTTTAGGTCAACCCTCTGTTTGGCTTGGTCACATTTTGGGAGACCAAAGGCTGGGCAGGGTCAATTACATTTGGGTTCTTTTTGTGTCTTAGATTAAATTCTCCCTATCAAGTGAGGAGAAATACAGCAGGCATGGGTTTATGACTCTGACTTGTATAAGTGATCAGCATATAAATTCTCCCCTCAACTTTGATGAATATTCAGGCAGACATTGATGAGAATTAACCCTCTACTAATGTAGCAGACAGAGGGGACTAACTAGCAGATCAGATCAGATGAAATCTTGGAAGTGAAAGGGTTAAAGCTACACCAAATTCACAGGATTTCTGAACAGTTGGTGTGAAGTTTTGGCACCTACATATCTACATCAGTAAGATTGAGTAAAATTTTGTTTGAATTTTCAACAGGTCAATGGGCCTATGGTCCTGCAAGTGCAAAAGCTACGAAATGTTTCTGCTCCAAAAGCTAACGAAGACTCAAACCATTCACCAAGATTATTGAAGGTTCAGCTGACAGATGGCCATTTGACTTGTAATGGATTAGAAATGGCATCCATTCCAAACCTCAGGTACACAAAGAGAGTTGTTGCTTATTAAATGATAATTTAAGCTTGCACATGTAATTTTATTAACCCTCAAACTCCCAAGATCTGATTGTTAATTCTCTCCTCTAGCTGCTATATGTTTCCTTGAAAATAAGTTATGAGAATTTGGTATTAAATCAAGATAACACCGTAAACCTGATAAGTTTGAATATTCTTATCACCTGTTTGCTGGATAATGTTTAGATATAATAGGGAGAAGTTACTTGTTAATCACTCCTGGGAGTTAAAGGGTTAACATGTAATTTACTCTTACATGATGCAGTAAAAATGTGATGGGAATAGATAAGTTTATCAGCTACGGGATGTTACCTTGATTTACTATAAAATTCTCCCAGCTCATGTAGAAGGAAATGCACAGCTTCATGAAGGGAGAATTGAGGATTCAAACAGATTATGGAAGGTTTAGTGTTAAGGCTCTTGACCACTACCAGCCTTGGAACTATTCACATATTTCATACTGTAACAATGAAATTTTTCTCACTGGTAGCAGCTTTGTCAGAAAGTTTATTTTGTTTACTTGCGTCACAAAAATGATCTAGAATCTATTATCCCAGTCCCATTGTGACAGAGTGGCAGGTCCCTGTTAACCCTTAACTCCCAGAGGTGATAAATATGTAACTTTTCCCTATAATATCCATACATTATTCACAAAAGAGTGATAAGAATAGGCAATATTATCAGGTAGAAGTCATTATCTTGATCTTACACCAAATTTCCCTAACTGATTTAGAAGGAAATGTGTAGCAGCTAGAGGAGAGAATTAACAATTAGATCTTGGGAGGTTAAGGGTTAATTAAGCAGCTATGATTTAAGATCATCCTTTTGAGTGCATGGCTGCAAACAGTTTAGTCTTGTCAAGTCATGTGAGGAAAATAATTTCCTACAGCTCTTTTACCATGGCTGTTTAAGAAATTTTCTTTCCAATGCAAAATCTTGCCTACACGAAGCAAGGGGATAATATTTTTTTTTTACTTTCTGTATGCTGCTGTAGGTATGGAACATGTAATTTTATTATTTGCTAGATTGTAATCATTAGTTGGTAAAGAGCCATCTAGTTGAAACTTTTTCAATTAACCATTATTATCAAATTGAATATAATAATAATTATTATAATAATAATATTATTATACATTGATTTTCACTTGATTTGCAAATGAGATTGTGTGATGTGATCATATATTTGTCTTTTGTTCAAACAGCTTATCAATTCCTCCTGGAACCAAGGTTTACTTAACAGGCTCCATTACTGTTCAGGAGAGCTTTCTGATGCTGGATGCTAACAACACAAGGGTCTTAGGGGGAGAGGTGGAGAAACTGAAGGAAAAGTGGGAGCTAAATAAGGTTAGAACTTTCCATATGTTATTGTTCAGAGGTGTCCCTTTTTGGAGTTGTTTTAAGCTTGTTTTTAATTTGAGGTTGTATGCCATTGATTGCAAGTCTACTATGAGTCAACCCTTTAACTCCCAAGATCTCATTTGTAATTCTCCTTACTGTCTACTGTACAGTTCTTGTGATGTTAGTTTGGAGAATTTGGTATTGGATCAACTAATGATCCCCTAATTGATATTTTTCTTTTTTCTCGTCACTTGTCTGCCTGTTATTGTATTCATATTGTAAGGAGAAGTTCTCTCTTGGTCATTCATGAGAGTTGAAGGTTTAACATGATTTCACATAAGCTGTATATACTGTAGGTTTATTTTTTGGAAAAATTAAACTTTGGATAGAAAAAATAACAACATATTGATAAACGCAATGTAAAAATTTACAAAATTGGACGATTTAATCATTTGATGATTTGTTGAGGGTTGCTTCCATATAAAATGTAAAGATTCTTTGATCTCAAGTTGGAAACCTCTGGAAGTGTGATATCATGCAGTTAAAGGTGTAAGCAATCAGGAGAACAGAGAGTGTGACATTGCTGAGAATTTTAAAAATGTTTGAAATAACTTGGTGCTTGTATGCAGATGTGGAAAAAAGAAACATTTCCAGAAATATCTATAAATTGCTATAATAAACCTCCTGCCACACTTGTGTCTATCCAAGATCGTTTTTACTGGCTGGAAGCAAGGGAAGTAGTGTATGTTACTTGTGGGATGGGGGCATCTAGAGAATCAGGTACAAGGCCAATATTACAAAAAAAAGTTGTTTGTTAAGGAAGGTCAAATCTTCTCATAAAATTGGACATATTTCTTGTGCATTGTAGCTCCTGTAAAACAGGTCACTGAATCAGTTTTAACGAACCTTTGTCTTTTTCTCCCCTTTTTAGACCTTAGCTAAGCATTCTCGCATGACTGTGAGTGGAGATGGGCCTCCTCCATTTGTTCCTTTCAGTCAAGGAACCCAACCAGGAATTGAGAACAGAGGAAGATCAGCAGAGAACACCAAAGGTTGGTTTTTAGTTACAACTCACACTGATGCTCTCCAGGACTATAGGGGGGCATAAAGATTATAGATGATTTAGCCTGAAACATTTTTGTTGAGTGCTTCAATTTATTTGTTTATTAATTAGCAATATTAATGCAGGCTGGCCCAGTTCAGCTGGGTTGAACAGGGACTTGCTAACAACATGAACAACAACAACAGCATGAACAACTTCCTCTCTGCAATCAGAGGTTTTCATTTGGTTTAATTCAAATTATGCTATATTTTTATTGACACTATATTTTTATTGGCACTAATGGTTGTTGACACCCCTGAACA